TTGCCATGCATCAGTCCTTACATTGCGATAGATGAATAAGAATGCTCATAAGGAGGGATACTGGAATTCACAGAGGTCTGCCTAAATACCATCCTTATTTCCAAGCAGCCTTAATCAAATCAGACGCTCTCTCTGCAACGACATAGGTAGCAACTTGAGTATGAGCAGCTGGAACTAACGGCTACAACAGATACAAGAACCCAGTTAACTCTTTCCAAGGTCCTTTGTTTGGTGGGGTTCACTCACAATGACTGACGAATCGACAACCCTCAGCCCCTTCACCTTCTTGACCTTTAAATCCGGATCCACGACGCCCCAGGTGGCGCCCATGGGCGACATGCTCGCTGTGCCAACTACGTGCGACACCGTAATTGCCGCGCCCCTTATGAACTTGTCCAGCTCGTCGTCGGTGACGGCGGTGTCTTGTAGGCTGATGACGTAGTCTGAAAAAACCGGCGCCTGGGCGAGGCGTCGGGAGGCGCGGATGGCTTCACGCAGGGCGAAGATGTCGAAGGGGGAGTCGAGAAGGTTGGGATTGACGACGGGGCGGTCGAACGGGTTAGAGGAGTTAATGAGAACGCTGCCGCCTGGATGTGATTGTGATAGATATTAGTGCGCTAAACGATGTATACCTAGAGGAGCACAACGTACGTGAAAGTGGTGTTACGACGACTGTGCCGATGACCATGAAGTTTCCAGTAGCAGGGACGGGTAGTCGAGTCGCGCCATTCTATGGAGTATATCAGGACAATGCACAGTGAAGAGAGTTGGTCGGAAGACAAACAGCAATGATAAACTCATAATGCGCCGTATTCTTTCCAGCCGACGGGTCCCGAAATTTCTCAAATATAGGGGCATCCTCCGGAAGGCGGAGCCATCCTGCCAAGTTGAACGTACTCGCAGCATATGGCCCCGTCTTCGTCTCATTCCACTGTCTCGTCTGCTCCATCTGCAAAGTCGCGTTCCGCAAAGCCGTCTCAAACGTATCCGTTGAGTTGACCAACCAGGTGTTGGCCACGAAGGGATGGTCTGTGAGATTTTGCCCTACAGAGGGCAGGTTCACGAGCGGCTTGATGCCGACTTTGGTTAGGTGAGATGGATCGCCGATGCCTGAGTGTTGGAGGATATGTGGGCTGCCGATTGCGCCCCCGGAGAGGATGACTTCCTTTTTGGCTGTTAGAGTCCTTCGGGGGCCAGCTGAGTATGAGGAGGGTGAGTGGAGTATTCAATTTCAATTGTTTGAGACTCGCCTCCATGGGTACTATCAGTTGCGTACTCTACACCTTTGAAGACAGGAACCCCATCAGCAGTACCGGTTTGAACTAGGCGAGTGACCCGGGCGTTCGTCAGGACGTACAGGTTTGGCCGCTGAGCAAAATTAGAAGCAAGGTAGGACGTCGCTGAGCTGCTTCTCTCTCCACCTTTAATTGTCGACTGTGTCCAACCTGGTTTGCGTTGTCAATACATGCAAGTAAGAACTACGTACAGAAAGAACCCGTACCGATGCCAATCTGTTTTCCAGAATTCATATCCAAATTGAAAGGAAACTCTGCGAGCTCAGAAGTCGCTTGTATAACGCGACGGTCGACATCATAGGTGACTGCGGGAAGGCTTACGGCGTTTATACCGTGGAAGCCATGTACAGAGGGGTCGAATTGGCCGGTGGTGTTATGGTGGTCAGCGGGTTCAGTCCATTTTTCGTTCTTCAAATCAAGTTAAAACCGACGAAGGCTATATATAGTACGGGGGAAGCATATGTATACCTTGCGGAGATACTGCTGGATATTATTCCAAGACCATCCGTTGTCGTTCGTAAGTTTCGCATAGCGATCATAGTCATCAGAAGAACCGCGCGTGTATGCAAGACCATCTAGTGAGGGCATATGTGAGGTGAATGTAATGGAAAGCAGATGCATACTCACTCATAGAGCTAGTACCGCCGAGTATATGGCCTTGTGGATAACTCATAGAGCGTCCACCCAAGCCAGGCATGGCGGTCGTTGTGTAATTCCAGTCCGCTGGTGAGTTGAATAGCCTACTGTTGAAGAACGGCACCTGTGAATTGAAAACGCCGACATTTCTGCATGAGAACACCAATTAATTGAATCAAAGCAAGAATTACAATTCTACATTGCGCAACTTACGTCCCACCAGCTTCAAGGACCAGCACAGAGTGGTTAGGATTTTCAGTCAACCTGTTTGCGACGACGAGGCCTGCCGTTCCACCTGTCGTTTCCCGCGTAAGTCATTGACTAGCTACATCTGAAAGAGAGACCTACCACCAACGATGATGAAATCAAAGTCGCCGTGACTGGAAAGGTCCTCAGACTGTGCTACTATAGCTGCCAGAGAAGACGATGTAGCCAGGGCTATAGCAAAAGCTATACAGGCCGCACGGACGGCCATGGAGGAGTATTTGTTCGAGTTAAGAATCCTTTACCGCGGAGGGTCGAATTCCAGGCTCAACTCAAGCCCAAGAGTCCAAGACTAAGGCTACCTTGAAGAAAGCACATACATGGAATGACTATTACGGGAGCGAATAAGACCACATGATGTTGAAACGTAACCTTAGCGAGCGTCCACATGAGCGCGACGCTTCTTTTGCGTGATAATTTCGGGCAGAAGCAAGACAGATACGCTATTGTTGATTTCAGCCATTTGGACGAATATCAAGAAAAGTCAGGAGATCAATCAAGGAATCATTTGCTCAAAACGAAACAAATGCGCAATGTCATGAGGCCAATCTATAACGCACATATCACATCCGGTATGGTGTAACGGCTAACATTGCCGCCTTTCATACTCAATGAAGCATCGCGGCAGCTCGGGGTTCGATTCCCCGTACCGGAATTTTTCTTCATTGTCAACATAAAACCTATTGTCTCTGTAAGTACCATATTCCGTTCTATTTTCCATCGGATATGGTGTAACGGCTAACATTGCCGCCTCTCACGCGGCAGCTCGGGGTTCGATTCCCCGTATCCGAAGTTTTTCCTGAGCCATGTCATTTTGCAACAGGACCAAGTGGAGAACCTTTTTTGCCTTCTCCACGCCCCCAATGGCAAGGTGGCAAATATATAACCTATATTGCATAATCAAGAGACGAAAGCTCATAGAACAGGCTTACATTAGATACAAATACGATTTTAGCTAAGAAATAGTGGCGTGTACGATGCAGATGAAGAGCGAGACGAGATGGGTTGCAAATATAGAGGGTGGTATCAGCATGTAAGAAAGGATGGTGATATGTATGTATGTATGGAAGTATGATGGATGCATCGATGATGGAGAGAGGCACAGACAAAGTGAGGAAAGGACGAGAAAAGGGAAACTGGAAAGACATGTAGGAGTAAGACATAAATATGTCGCAGGCCGAGAAGTTGTTTTCACCAATTACCATTCGCCGCTCCGCTCAAGCGAGTGCCTTCACCCCCTCATCCCAGTCTCCCTTCGCAACGTTTCCCACCCCCCGACACACCGAGCACGCTACCTCCACACCCCCATCTATAACCACCGCATCCTGACCCATCAACGCTAATCTCGCCGCACTCACCAAGCAAGCGGGGTGGAAGGTATGCGAGCATACACTCTTTCCCTCCACGGTATCATGCCCGTGCTCACCATTCTCGTCCCCATTGCTATTGTCATCCCCGCCCTTCGGTGCGCGAATGTTCAGCTGCCGATTGGTCACATCCGTCAACGCAGCGAAGGGGTCCTCGTCCGACGGGCCCAGTCCACAGCTCACATCATAGCACCTCAACCCAGCCTCCCGCTCCCGGCGTTCAACGCGCTGACGGAGAGTCGGGCCAGGCGCAGCAGGGAGCGTCCACGCCTTCTTCTCGCCTTGAGGCTGAGGGCCGTTGGGCGCAGGGAAGGGGCCGAAACGAGTGAAGCCGGGGATCTGCGGAGGTACTTGGGTTTGGGCATTGGCGTTTGCAGGGCCACCAGCACCAAGAGCAGGGGCACCACCGGGAATAGTAAAACCGCCCGTCATCAAGGTGGTGAAAGGGCCGAAAGGCATTCCTATGCGAGGACGCCCTGTGGCGAGAGGGGAAGGATTCTGGCCAGCAGGGGCAGGATTGGCGTTCGCATTGGCATTGGTGTTGGCGTTATGAAGAGAATTAAAGATGTTGAGAAGAGGGTGGTCGGGCGGCAGGTTGGCTGGGAGGAACGGGTTCGGGTTTCTCTGAGGTTGAGGTTCTTGTGGTTGAGGTTGGGATCCAGGTTGAGATCCAGGCTGGTGTTGTTCAGCTGGGGAGGCCTGCGCTTGTGGGGGTGGATGGTCGGCGGCGGCGGCAGGATTAGGATTAGGGTTTTGATTTTGGTTCTGGTTCTGGTGATGAGCATGGTTCTGTGCCGCCTGCTGCTGCTGCTGCTGCTGCTGCGCCAACACCGTAGTAAACAGCGTCTGAAGGAATCCCTGGAAGGAAGGGGAATTCATCGCATCCTGTGCGACGTGTTCATGAGGCTGCTGCTGTCCAGCTGGGGCTTGTCCTTGTCCTTGTCCTTGGGCTTGAGTTTGTGCAGTCTCAGGCGGTGCGCCGTTAGGCGATGCCTGCGTGCCCACATTCTGCTGCTGCCCTGGAGCCCCGGCAGCCCGCTCAAGCAACGCCGTAAACGCCTCATTCATCGTACGCCCCGTACCCGTCATGACTTCCGGTTCCCACTGCGGGAACGGGTGGTGACCAGCTTCATCGTCGGGAAGAGGGAACGGGGCAGCAGGGAATCCAGGAACGCCAAAGAAATCTTCAAATTCTCCATCCTCGTCCTGATCCTGTTCGTGCTCCTGCAAAGCCACCTCCGCTTCAAACGCCGCTTGGTCGGCGGCGCTGAAGAGGTCGTCGACGTGGATGTTGTCGTTGGTGAGCTGCTCTTCGGTATTTTCTAGGTTTGTGTAGAGAGTAGGTCCACGATTACGACCACTAGTAGCATTATCTCCGTTTGCGGTGGGATTTGGATTAGCGTTTGCGTTTGGGGCTGGGCTGGGGAGTCCACTGAGTCCAGGTGGTGGGCCTATGATGATATCAAAACCTATAGTGAGGAATGTAGGATGAGCCCCGTGGTTATGGTCTTGACCTTGACCAGGAGCAGGAGGGTTTGGATGGACAGGTGGCGCTTGTATGGGGTTGGCGTGAGGTTGGTTAACGTTAACGTCATTTCCTTCTACTATTAGTCGAAAAGTTAATAAGAAAACGCTGTCGAAATGCGAAGAACAGCCAACTGACCTCCACCATCTGCAGGTGCTGTCGGCGGCGCAGCGAAATTAAGTCCAGCACCTCCTGCGCGAAGTCGTGCTGCTTCCCGCATTTGGTCACCGAGTTCCCTGAGTCTCTGCTGAGCTACGTCGGGCGGAGGTCCTGCTCCTGCTCCTTGAGGCATGGGCATGGCCATTGGAGGGCGTCGTCGAGCGGTGAGGTGTTCGGGATCAATGTTGAACCTACAGGTTGGGCAAGTCGTTTGACGAGGACGCGAGAACCATGGAATGAGGCATGAGGCGTGGAAGATGTGAGCGCAGGGAAGGGTGACAATCTTTGGTTGGGAGGGGTCGAAGGAGGATCTCATTGGTGAGTCGGCAGAGGATTCGTCGGTTGTTGGAGTGTCGACTGCTGGCGTGTCAGGTGGTGGGGCGGCTGAGGATTCACTGACGGTAGGTGCACCTTCTACATCCATGGGTGCGTCAGATGAGGGTCCTGCGGTCGGCTGTGCAACCTCCTGCGCAAGTTCTGCATTCAGCTCGGCGCCAAAACCACCCTCACCATCCAACAAACGATCCCAACAAATCGCACACGAGCAGTCCCCAGCACCCGTGCTGTTCTCGTCTGGATTCTTCTCGTTCAACGCCTCCATCCGACGAATAAGGCCCACCGGAACCTCTTCAAGTCCATTGACAAGTTGCTTGGCGCGTTCGGGGTCCTCGGTCTCCCGCTCAGACAACGAACTCAACAGGTCAAGGAAGTGGGGAAAACCAAGCCCAGCACCGTTGAAGGGTGCTCCGCCCGCTCCTCCCTGCAGTGGACGTACCACGCGCTGGCCATTGATGTCGATTGTGATCGCAAATCCATTAATAAATGGTCGCCGCGGCCCGTTATCTGGCGCTGGAGGTTGAGCAGCGTTCACAGGAGCTCCTTCTCCTTCTGGCGCAGCGTCGGCTTGCAATGGGTGGGCAGCTGGTGGGGTAGGAGCAGGGTTTACTGGGAACGGCCAAGGCAGGGTGGTGGCTACGTTATTGAGAGGGTTGGAGATGCGTTCAGACGGATGCCTACGATCCCGCCCTTCGTCCTCATCCTCGTCTACCCTCGCCCGACGGTTACTGCGCTGAATTGGCTCAAGTGCAGGCACACCCATAGACGCAGACTCGTCAGTCCAGGTACTGCCATTGTCGTCATCCACAGCCTGCATCAGCACCTCGTTGGCTTCCTCCTCGTCCGATTCGCTGTCCGCCGACAAGGCCGACACAGAGTGCGGCTCTGGCATGTCGTGCCCCTCGCCCATTGTGATATCCTGAGCAGCTGCGGAGCTGGTCGAACTTGCGGCCGCGCCCGAGATTGGCTCAAGAGGCGGCATATCGCTGTTGTTGTCGTTTTCTGCTGCCATCGGTGCGAAAGAGCGCAGAACGTTGTTGAGAAAGTTGTCCATTGAGCCTGCTCGTCTGGTTGTGGTGGTCGGAAACAAAGCAATCGCTACACAGCGTCTGTGCCGGCGTTGCGATTGGCCGCTGTTGCTGTGTATTTGTTATGTAACCTGCTGTCTAGAATCTTGTCTTTGTCACACCATCTCTTGCCATTGTGCCCAGAAAAATCATATCCATACAACAGACTATGGTATCTATTGAGAACAATAACCTTTTTTTTGCGGATTTGTGACTTAGTTTCTTTTTTCTGTATACTTAAATGTGATTGTAGTAAGCTACAGGGGTCGGCAAGAAGCTGCCTTTGTGTCTCTTCTGACCCACCTGCTCTCTCTGCGCCCAATGGTCTCAGCTCAGCTCATCTTTCTGATTTCTGGGGGACCTTGTGACATCTGAAAGCAGACAAAGCATCCTTTTAGTACATGACGTAGATTTTGTGGTGTCTTCAACAAACTTAGAACATTCGCCTTGAAAATCTCTACCACCTATGAACCAGGACGCTAGAAATGACGACAGGGGCCCCACATCGTAGCTTCATCAAGTAAGATGGGGAGGAACAACTATCCAGGTGACACTGAGACGCTATCAAAGGCTCTCATGGAAGGCGCCAAGAGGTTCTCTTTCTCATGCTGAACCAAAGTTACACACCCTTCGGCCGTCGGGAGCTTGAGGGAAATCGCATACTCCTAATCTTATGTCACCTTAAACCTGGAAATTACTCGGGGTCCATGGTTCACTTTCAATTGCTGGCATTCCATCGTTCCTTGGAGGCTTGACTTTATTTGTACATACATATGCGAAAATGACACAATATTTCCATCACGAGATCTACGTGCCTGTCGGTCCCAAACGAGTCCATGTTTGAGCGCTCCTACCGCTCATGCCTCCTCTTTAACACGTGCCCCGCCGCAGTGCTAGAAACACGAGGCCCTTGACTCAACTCGAGTCAATTCCGTCACAGCATTTCCACAATAGCAACTCTCAGCCCTCACGCCAGTAAACAGCGCCAATATAATTGATATACTGATGATATACGAGTACCGTCCCCTTGCTCTGAATCAACCCCTCTCTTCACACCCCATCCCAGTCTAAGAACAAGAACAAGGGCGCTGCCGTCACAAACTGGCTCATGGCTCAACTGAACCAAGAGCCTCCCTCAAAATAGTGGCTGTGAAGTGAACGAACCAGCCTACTGGAGGTGCTGTTAAACATGCATCACCAT